CACTAGCTGAAGCTTTTGGCTAGAACATAGATATTAAATAAAGAATGTATCTTTGGTGGATGTAGTTTTTTTTTAGCTTTAATAGGCTATCCAAAATACTCTCCTCCTTTACTTTGATACTTTCAAATGAAAGGTATATATGTCTTTGAGCATTATATCTATTAAACCAGGTCTTGGGTTGTTAAAATTTATTTGGACAAGGTGGATCTTGGGTTGTCATAATGCATTTGGTTTGCCTTCTTCATCCTGACATCTCTGAATTAATAAATGGTTCAACCTTGAGGCAAAAGTCTGAACTTCTCAAGTCTGCATCTTCTCAAAAGGAACAAAAGTCACATCCAAAGATAAATTGTTCATTGTGCACAGCCAGCATTCTTACTGATATGAATCCTGTTTTATACAGGGCTCTTCTATTAATTTGTATGTTATTTCCTGCTTTTATTTACTTGCATATCACCAGGTAATGGATTTTTTAAATAACATTCAGAAGGAGTTGATAATTTCTCAGGTTGTTGTCAAGGGTTGGAAAAAAGCTTGAAGCAAAGCATATTGTTAATCCCATAAAGACATGGGGGGAAGATATATTCTGAGCATGCTGTTACAGCTCTCTAACTGGAATTACTTCTTATTCCCCAACTTATCTTGAAGGAGCAAATGACAGTTCCTAAGCAGTTGGAAAGTGAAACAGTCAGTCTCCTGAGAATACCATTTATGACTCTCTGGGTTTTAAGCATAAAATAACACATTTCAAAACAACAATGAAGAAACCAGGTTCTAATCCTCTGTCAGATAGGGAAGTCAGATGAGTAATTTTAGTCCAACTATTCTTTCTCAGTTTTTAACTACCAGCCCACAATGGAGCATTCTGATAGGTTACAATCCATAACTTTCAATGAAAAGATCTTTTAAATGCTTGATTCAGACTAATAATAATAATAACAACAACAACAACTCAATACATTTCAAGCATGAAACTTTTTATAGGGTAATTAAAAATAAGTTTTAAAAACCTATGCCTACTTTCAATTGGCATTTTCAATTAAGTTTGGTATTTATTTTCAGAACCGCATTTAATGTACTGATAGAGGTAGTCCTCAATTTACGACTGTAACTGAGGCTTCAACTTTGGTCATAAATTGTGACAGTCATGTGACCACAGGATGCTGCGAATGGCTGCAAATGGAGCTCAGCGGAAATTTTGAGTAAAATACCGGTAAATATCACCTCTGACTGGCCCCGCCCCATCTATTCTCTGCCTCCCAAGTCCCAGCTGATCAAGAGGAAATGGGGATTTTGCAGTAACTTTCCCCTGGAGTGGAGAGGGAATGGAGATTTTACAATATCCTTCCCCTGCCACGCCCACCAAGCCAAGCCACGCCCACCAAGCCACGCCACGCCCACCAAGCCACACTCACAGAACCGGTAGTAAAAAATATTGAATCCCACCACTGTCCACTGTAACTTAAAATGGTCACTAACAGACTGGTCATAAACCAAGGACAACCTGTAGTCCCATACTGCCCAGATTTGCCTCCAAAATTACCTAGTTCTGCATGTGTATTTTATGGTGGATAAAACAAAATATGTTTTTGGTTGCTGCTGCCATCAGTTTCAGGTACCTGACTACATTGGGCTAGGTGACAGTTTTCTGGTAAAACTGACTGAATTTCATTCACATGCTGCCATCTACACTTACACTGAGGTATTCTAAATTAAAATAACTTTCCTAAAAAAGGCATTTTTCTCCCCTAAGTACGAGTAGTCCTTGTTTAGCAACTGCAATTGGGATCACAGCTGGGTCATTAAGCAAAACAAGGGCTAAGTGAAACTGTGGCTGTGTTTATTATGGTTTTACTTCAGCTTCCTTTTGCTTTACAGACTTGCAAATGTCACAAATTGGAGGACGAGCTGCAAAGTTACTTTTTCATCACTGTCTTAAGTGTGAATGGTTGCTATACAAGGCAGTCACTAAGTGAGGACTAGTTGTAGATAATTTTTTCTTACTGCTTTACTCGATAGCTAGACAGAAGACAGACAACTACGGTTCACAATATACAAAGACCAAACCCAGGTACTTTTCTCATAAGAAAAGTCTCATAATTTGTTCCATGTTAGCCAGCTTCGGTTACATCAGGGTTACAAGGCAGCAAGCTGTCCCTGCTGCATGACAGATTGCTTTCTGACAACAAAACTTTGTTATTTTCAAGGGTCGCTGTAGCTTCTTTTAATCTGATATCTATTACTGCCTGGCTTTCTGACCCACTGCTTTTTCTTCTTTTTTCTTTTCCCGTGGTTACTTTTTTTTGTTCTTTCTGCTTGACAGTGAATTTCTTATCTCATATCTTTGCCACTCTCTTAATTCACTTTAGAATGCAATGCTATTACTGCTGTTAGTCAAGAAGCTGAATGTGGAGAGATCAGCATCTACTTACAGATATTTGTAGAAAGCTGCTGAGGACTTTGTTCACTAAAGCAATAAATATTTCAGTTTTGAAATACAGAAAGGAGGATTGCTTGATAGTGCTAATAAAGAAGACAGTGCTCAATATTAAAGGTAATTGCTGAGGTTTTTAATCAGATAACCATTCAACAAAATGTCAGGTACTGTTAAAAGTATGTCAATTACTGGCAGTTTTTCATGCTGACTTTTTCCAATTATTAATCTATCCAATGGCATTGAGAATCAAAGCAGATGGTAGCACTTAGCTAGCCTAGGCTGGTTCCAAAAGAACTAAGTAATCTTGGCTAGTTCTTGGATAGAGACCACCAGGAGCTATAAGAGTGGGAAGCTGAAAAAAACACACCTTTGAATAAAACAGTTGTGACAACATTCATTTTGTTGCCCAAAACTATCAGTGTCATCAAGATGCAACTTAAGGGAGTTTTGTATTATTATTATTTTTAGTATTAGTAAACCAGAATATTTATCTCTGAGATCTGAAGCACACACACACGGGATCTTTGGGTAAACTTGGAGCCAACTTTGTTGGATGAAACTGTCCAGCTGATGCCACAGGAGATACATGATCCTTCACTTAATCACGCCCTATACCATGTAGGCTTAATAAGTCATAACCGATACTCTGAATTGCACCTGGAAGTTACTAGTAACCATTACAGCTTGGGAAGCATAAGTGTCACACAGGCACACTAAAGCGTGCCCATCACTATCTGTGCCACTGCATTCTGGAGCAGTTGAAATTTCCAAGTGGTCTTCAAGGGCCCATGTAATGCATTGCAGCAATCAGGTCATAAATTATCAGAGTAATTGACTATATGAAGGGCCTTCTAATCTAGGAAAGAGTGCAACTGAGGAAGATGAAGCTGTGCAAAAGGCCCTATTTACCATAGCTGCTACCTGCTCATCAAGAAGGAGCGGTGAGTTTAGGAGTACTCCAGATTGTGTACCACTCTTAAACAGGGAAGTGCAATCCCAATCAAGACCAAAGGTAGAGTATTTCCATATCTAGATGGCCCCAACCACCACAGCTACTCAGTCTTGGTAGGCTGAGACAGAGACAGATCCTCCCCATCGAAACCTCCATGTATACCATAGTTTTCAGGCCCTGGGATAGTATCTCAACAGCTTCCCCTGGCTGGCCTGGGGTTGAAAAATATAACTGTATCATCAACATACTGTGAATACCAAATGCCAAACCAGTGGATGCCCTCACACAGCAATTTAATGTAGATATAGAATAAAAGGAAGGACACAGTTGAGCCCTGCAGCATCCTAAAATGGAAGGGCCTAGAATACAACCTCTTCCTCCAAAACAAATACTGATTGAAACCAGTCCCAGAGGAAGGAACAGAACTACCAAAGAACAATGTATGCTATTCCCAAAGGTCCCCCTATCCCCAACCCTTATCCCATCAACTGCAGATCAACCATCTTTTGAACAGCTTTCTGTAAAAGGAAAAGGTTGGAGACAGGACTACAGGTACTTAATAGCATTGCATCCAGGGATGATCTTTTGAGGAGGGGGCACACCATAACCTTCTTTAAAATAGTAGTACTGCCCAAATAGATTGACACCATAGTATCAACCCAAACTCAGGCTATTTCCTTGGCTACTTTCACAGTCCAGAACGGTGGTTGATCCAATAAATAGGTGGTCAACCTGATAATTGTATTATCCACTTCCTCAGGAGTCACTGGTTCAACCTCATCCCGGATTGCAGTGCAAGATCTGACCCAGATTGTGACCCTTGTGTCCGCGTGCTTGATGTGCACTGCAATTAAAATTGTTCTGCGCATGCACAGAACTGAAAAACAAGATGGTGGCGCCAATGGTGCTGACCAGGGAACCGGTTCGGGGGCATGGCAGGCCTGGGTCACTGCTGGTTCCAGCGACCCAGGCTGCCAAACCACTACCAGTTTGGCTGAACTGGTCCGAACCGGTAGGAACCCACCACTGATCTGACCCCAGGCATTTCATCTGGACCTGTCCAGTCAGAATTCAAATTACCTATGTTCAGTCAAACTCACTCTGAACCTTCACCCAAAATAGTCCAAGCATTTCTTCTGACCCTCTACCTACTAGAACTCATCAGTAAACCAAGGTGCTTCCTAAGATAAGCACACATGGAGAGGCAATCCAAGACCACAGCCACCTGCCCATTTCAGGCAGCGACTAAAGCCTAGGTTGAACTTACCACCAATACTTGAGGAAAACTTCAAGCTGTCTCTGGAAACTCTTTAGTTCTGTGGATCACCAGGGCTGGGCTGGCTGAATGGGTCCTATATCCCTCCAGAGAGGGATGATACCATTGAACCAAACAACAATCAGAAAGAGATTTGAAGTTTTCTTTTTTCATTCCTCCAATATGGAAGAAAAGTTGGAATGTAAACTGCAGAATGATTTGTATCAATACTATGAACAGGTCTCTGGCAAGAAATGCTGGAAACTACATATGTTCAGCACATGTTTATGTAAGTCCCCACATAAGGCACACCTGTTAAAATATTCACCCTGCAGCACATTTTGTTTCTTTGTTACCTGGAGCAGTGAATAGCTTGATGTCCAGCAATATTAAAATAGAAATCAGTTGTATGTTTCATTTCATCTGTGTGCCCAGAAACTTCAATCCAGTGTCCTATTGGGAGGCAGTAAACTCCATCAACTAAATTGCATGGATTATAAACATTGGTTCGATCATGGTGCGGTCCATTACCTAAAACAAGAAGAAAACACACACACCACAATTCAGCAGAAATCATTAATTAAATTATATTTGAAAAACAGAATTTTCCCACCCCTTGCAGAAATCTCCTCCTTGCATCCTGTGCGGGTTTTTTAATAGTATATGGCAGGCCATTTTTTTGAGGTTTGCACTCAACAGGCCAGATTAAGATTGTTTAAGGCTTAATGATAACTAGTTTTTGGATATAAATATCTAACATTTTTTAGAAGATACAAAATAAAATCTCTTTTAACTATAATTTTTTGTTTATGAGCTAAAAATTGAATTCTGAATAACTTATTCACTGTACATGTTTTAGAAACCAATACTATTATATCTTTAAAAGTTTTATCTCATTTTTAATATTGTTATTTTTCTTATTTTAAATCCATTGCCAGAAGAACTATTTAGAGCAGATAACTGGTAAATTATGCTCTGAATTAAAGTAACTTGAATTCTGGCAACTATTAGATACTAACTCAGTCCCAGAATTTTAACACAGTAAACAGGCATAATTTTTTCCTCTCTTTCTTTCTTATGAGCATTCACAGTGCCATCTGCTGTATGAAAAATGATACATGCTATGATTTGGAACAATTTATTTTTGAAGCTATTGTTTTTAAATTCAGGTCTTACAAATCATATTGTATAACTTCCAGGCAGACTAGCTGACACTCAGTAAAAATAAGATGCAATGTAGCAAAAACGACCAATTATACCAGAAAGGTAGGTTTGTGTGTATGTAATATCAAAGTCAATTAAAACAGGCTGTACCACAATTCTGTACAAAAGAGTTAGCCCTACAAACCCAAAGACAGATAAAGATTAAAGAGACTGGAATCATATTGAGATCCAATATAACCTTTGCATTTTTTATGATTCCCAAAGGATATCTAGGACCATTAAGAGAATATAAATTCAGATGAAACATTTATGATACAGTAATAATCTCTTTTACTGCAAGAATACATCTCTCACCAAATGTTCACTTAGGAATTAAGCCTGAGCTCATTAGACTCTCCTTTTAAAAAATCTTTCAACATGCTTTTCCATAAATCTTTTGGAATTGTAATCTAATCTATAGTTTGGAGGATTGTTGGTAAAAATTCCTGGAGAGCATCATCATAGTACTGTGGTTGATCTGTTATTCTGGGTTTTTCAAAGGTTGGTGGACAGGCTACCATTTCCTACACAGATTTCAATTTTTCCTTTCCCAGATATTGAATTGAACATAGGTGGAGACTGGACATAGGTTCAAGTCGTGTCTCCACCATGGATCCTGATTAGGTGATGTAGGATTAATCTGTTATTCATATCATATTACTGAATGCTGGCTCATTGTGGGGAAAATTTTGAAGAGGGGGTAATATGTACCTTGCCTTCAGCTCTTTGAGGAAGGATGGGATATAAACCATATAAAAATAACTAAATAAACATAAATACATTCATTTCAATATTAAAAATATTTATTCAATATATATCTTGCCTTTCTACTTAAGTAATGACTCAAGGTTGCTAACCAAATTTCTAAAAGCATTAGCTCAATTAACATTAAACTTGATAGTAAAAAGCTAGACAAAAATACATTTTTAGAATTAATAGTGAGCAATGGGGCCAAGTATAAATCTCTAAGGTGTTTAGTTTACAGCTTATGTTTTTGATATTGTGAGCATCTTCAGAAGAGTTTGTCTTGGAGATAAGTTATCAACAGAAGATGCAGTTAAGATTTTAAATGTTAATGCCAACATGTAGAATTGTACCTGTTAAGCCACTGATGACCTGTACAGACCTTTCAGTATTACCATTATGTGATCTGTATACCTATTCCTACATTTTGCACAAATTTAAGCATCTGGCTTTTTAAAGGGATTTAGTAGAATACACTGTAATAAGAGGAATGATACAGGGGTGGATTCCAGCTTCTGTTACTGCTGGTTCGCTCAGGGACGCACTTCGCGCACACACTTTGTCGTATGCACAGTAGTGAAAAATTTCTTCTGTGCATGCGCAGAAGCAAAAAACATGATAGAACTGGTTCGGGGGCGTACCTGGCCAAGTTACTACCTACTCTTCCGAACCGGTCTGAACCAGTAGAACCCACCTCTGGAACTATAACTAAGGAAATGATAAATGTAAACTCTAAACATTAATGAAAGAAAAGTTAGCTATTCTCAAGCAAGAGAATGACAATTGCTACCAAAGCAAAAGTCAATTAGAGTTGCTTCTCTGATTTAATTATTCATTCATTTACCAACTCCATACCAAAGTGACAAAAAGTATACAATTCAATTACTGTGAATAAATAATAAGCTTGCTATTGTTAGACACGGTCTTCAGACCCAATTATTCAACATATCCATTCCTACATCTTGTTTCAGAAGACATGAAAATAAAATTTAATGAGATCAATCAATGATAATTGATTATGGATTCTGCCCCTTTAAACATATTGAACATGCACTCTTAAAAATGTGTATAATAGATATTTCAGAACCTATGTCTATTCTTTAATTTCTGCTTTTTTCCTACTTCCATTCACAAGATTTTTTTAAAAAACCACACCTCAAAAATCAATAAAATTAATCATCTACTGTTTCTTAAAGATATCATACGCCAAGGGTCAGGTCCACATGTGATTATCCAATTTATTGCTACTCTTGCTATGCACAGGAATATTCTCAACTAATGCTTAGCTCCTGCTTGGAGTTAGATAAGAATAAACGGAATTTCAGGGTTTGCTTGTGGCTGCGTAGGGATTCTAGGTTGATCCCTCTTTGAAATCCACCCCCAGGTTCTGCCACTCCTTCTCCCACAGCTAAATAATAAATGAAATCATAGTAGAATAAAGCAACAGTTAAACAAAGCAGACTCAAAGCAGTTGACAAACACATTTCTATTAACTGCTTTAGCTTTTCAGTTTCAACAAATGCAAGCATAAGAGCCGTGGTGGTGCAGTGGTTAGAATGCAGTAAGTACTGCAGGCTACTTCTGCTGATCACTGGCTGCCAGCAGTTTGGCAGTTCAATGCTCATTAGCTCGAGGTTGACTCAGCCTTCCATCCTTCTGCAGTTGGTAAAATGAGGACCCAGACTGTTGGGGGCAATATGCTGACTCTGTAAACCGCTTAGAAAGGGTTGTAAAGCACTGTGAAGCAGTATGTAAGTCTTATTGCTATTTTATTTATTAAAAGAAACCATCAAGGTAATATTTAATCTAACTTCATTCACAATTATGGATTTGGATAAAGTGTATGACACTGCGTTCTCCCCAATAGCACCTTGTGCCACGTTCCACATTTCAAGAGAAATCTCGGACCCTGCTGAGAGGTATTTCATGGAGGGAAAATTTGTGATTCAGTTCTTATCGTTTCCAACTAGATGGAGCAAAAGTGGGGAAGGAGAAACTAATGGCCTCCTCCTGGCTCTTCCTAGCCTTTGAAACTCCATCCCAACCAATTATGTATAAAAAGGTTTTCCAGTCAAGAGAGAAATGTGTGTTCCCCCATTCTAAGAACTCCCAGTTACTCGACTTTGGAATTATATTTATAGCTGGTCTTTGTTTATCAATGGTAATTGAGACTGGAATTTCTGTCACTATTCAATGCAATAGTAAAGTACAACATCATATGACTCCATTGCTTAGTAATGGCAATCCTGGCAATCCTTGTTGCCATCAATAAGTGAAAATTGTGATTGTTAAACAAACCTTGGGTGCTTGTAAGCAGGCCAGCAGGCAGTTAAGGTACAGTGTGAGGTGTGGCCTGAGCATGGAAGATCAGGAGTGGCTGTTGCCAGTGGGTAGGGTGCAAATGACAGGAACAATGTCAGCCCAGGGAGCCATGTTTTCTTTGCAGCTTCGGGGCTGCCACATTTCTTCTTTCATTGGGGGTGTTACTTGGAACCCTGACAAACAATTTGCAACCTTCCATGCCAGATTCCACATTGACTTTGCTTGCGGGAAGCTGGCAAATGGCAGTCACGTGACCATGGGACACTTCAACCATTGCTAAGTGCAAACCTGTGTGCCAAGGGCCCAGGTCGCAATTGCATAAATGTGGGAGTACTGGAATGGCAGGAATTTAAGGACTGATCATAAGCACTACTCATTCAGTACCATTATAACTTTAAATGGTATTTAAATAAACACCTGTATTAGAATGCTTAGGTAGATGGCTTTAAATCAGTCATGTAGACCTACCTTGAGGTTCCCTTTCAAACTCCAAAATTTAGTGAGTGATCCCTTTGTTTCACCTCAGAGATGAGCAATTTTCCCTGGATTGGGCCAATAATTTAATCTCCTGCCAGCTGGAAGAACACAAGAGACCTTCCAATGATGTAGTGATGGTAATTTTTTTTTGTTAATTTTTGCTGTTAGGGAATTTTTTAAAGGAGGAATGATATAGATCCCATGTCCACTCTTAAGATCTCCAAGCAGCCTCAAAAGGTCAATAATCAAGCAACTGAATTTGGTGAGTGCTGTTTTCTACAGACTCTTGAAGCTTGGTAGCACAAAGCTCTCCTCCTTTTCAAGTATCATGCCTGGGCTCAGCTGTAAAAGATTGTATTGAGATCAGAAAAAGTTTTCTAATTTCCCCTCTGCTCAAATAGAGATTTTGCTTTACGTTTACAGGTCCAGAAGAAACTTACCTCTAAATTCTACTGCAGAAGGCATTAAAGCCATTTCAGTGTCTTAGAGATTTGGGGAACTATTTTGACCAAAGCTTGCTTGATTTAAAATGTATGATCCCCTTACTGCAACTTGGAAACATATAAGCAGAGTGATTTTGAACATCTTCTTGTAATTGGGGTATTCTCTATAGCACCAAGCAGTTCATGAACATAGAGAAAAGAAGGTAAAGATTTAAATACCATTATTAAAAATCTGGAAAACTAATTGTTCCTATTAGTCCAGTTATTCTGATGGCAATTCTGACATCACTGTCTAAACTATACTCTAAATGTATATTGTTTATTAATTTATCTGACCAACTT